TCCCCACACAGCAGGTGCCATGCCACACAGAGCAAGCTCCTCAGCCAAAAGCGAATCCCTCATCCCACAGAGCAAGCCCGTCTCCTCACAGAGTGAACTCCTTTCCCCTTAGTTCAGTAAAGTAAGTCCCTCTTCACCCCATAATGAGCTCCATGCTTCAGAGTAAGCCCTTCAAGTGGGCTACTGGGAAGTCTAACCCATCATAACACCAGAGAATAACCAAATTGTCACATGGTCAGACTTCCTGGCTGACATATGTCCTTCACACCAGCACATAGGTCCATCCCAGGAGACCCAAGACTGGCTAGGAGATCTTGATCTCAGCCTGGTGCTTGCAAGTTCCTTCATGCTGATGCCTTTGTGCCTAAAGAGACGAGGGAAACATACATCAAGGCAGCTGTGGCCTCAACCCAGACAAGAAAGTCATCCAAGACACTGTAGCTCTGACCTTTCTTCCTGTGTGGGACCCTTCCTCTAGCCTCCCAAAGGACTCACTCAGGTCCTGGGCTTCAAGACAGAACATGGGAGTAGCTTTTCAGTACCCACAGAATATCGACCTCCTGGTCAAGTTCTGCTTCCTGGCAATGGTTCTGAGGCTGATCTCTCTACTGGCTTTATCCTCAGCCTGTACAGATGTGGAAATCGAAGCACAAGGGAGTTGCTGTCCCACTCCCCAAAAAATTCAGTGGCCTTCCCTCTAATAGCTCTCTTGAGGTTACGCCTAGGGATTGCCACCAGTAGGTCCTCCCAGTTCAACCCAAAGTTTCATGGGGTTTCCTTCTGCTAGACCAGAACAAGATCATATAGCGACAGAGTTGGGATACAGCAGCCGTGAGGCCTGTTGGCACCTGACCCAGGCCAGGGATCCAGAACCTCGGGCGAAATCACAACTCAAATGTTAAAGCCATGTATGAAAGGCAAGCAAGTGCAGCAGAAACTCTGAATACAGATACTTGTCTCAACTCTGTCATCCTAAGAAGCATGAAACTCTTACAAGTCCACAAGGTTTTCAGTGTCACCTGTTCTCAAAAGTGCTTTCAAATTTGCTATCCTGTTATCCGTAGGATAGAATCCCTGGGCAACCAGGGACCACCTGCAAGTCCTGGAGCTGCTAAGTCACACAAAGCTGGGAGAGGCTGGCAGCAGCTGTGCTCTATCCCCCAACCATGTCACCACCTCTTTAGAACAGAATATGAAAGGTCAAGTCACCAGAGCCCACCTGCACTTCATCCTGTAAGACCAAGGAAGGGAATGGACTGCACAAGCAGAGAGAATCAAAATACTGTACGTCCGTCTGTAGCAGTGGCTGGCAGGACTGGGGCCCAGTGGTCCACAGTCCCTTGTGCTGTAGCTCCCAGCCAGATTCTCTCCCTAGAGAGAGTAGTGCAGAGCACCTCTTCCTGAAGCTGAACCAAACCTGTGTGATAGCATCTCACTAACTCCCAAGTCACAGACACCTCAGACCAGTCTCCAGAGATGGAGTAGAACGGGCCCCACTCCTGGTCACAACTCTCTGTAAGCACAAAGAGTTCAGTCTGGCTGGCAGGCTTCATCTCTTAACAAGCTTTCCAAATAACTAAAGTTGCTCAATTGTAACATCTGTCCTTTTGCAAAGCTGATAGTGAACTACCCCAAACCCAAGGGTAGAGCCAGGAAGGTGAGCTAGACTTGGCTAGGATAAAGAAGACTCTCTTAGGCAGCCCTGACACCTGTACTCATACCTCTGCCTCAGTTCTGACATTGAACTCTTTAAACTGGACACTGCTTCATTAGTAAGACCCTAAAATAAAGTTCAAGTCCGCCACCCCACCCTGCAAAGGGTGAGAGAACTGGATGAGGACTGCCCGCATTGGGACTTTTCTACCAGAGCTTGCTGTGGAGGCCAGCCCTGAGCTGCCACCACCAGCTGGGAGTGCCCAGTGGTCTCACGGTGGGTCTTGAAGAGATAGATGGGCAGAGAACTAGCATCTATAGAAAGAAGCAAGGATTGCTGGGGGTAGTGGTGCACGCCTTTAATCCCAGCACTTGGGAGGCAGAGGCAGGCGGATCTTTGTGAGTTTGAGTCCAGCCTAGTCTACATAGTGAGTTTCAGGACAGCTGGGGCTACAGGGAGACCCTGTCCCAAAAAAGACAAAAAAAAGAAAGGAGGGAAGGAAGGGAGGGAGGGAGGGAGAAGAAGAAAGAAGCAAGGATTAAGGGAAGGGCAGGCATGGAGCAGAATCTGGGCAAATCCAGCTTCCTGAATCAGCCTGCAGAACTCTGAGCAAGCCAAGCCCAGCATTATCTTGGGCCTGTAGCACCCCAGGAGAGAGTTGGTATCACAAGTATCACAGGTATCACAAGAAGAGGACCACCTAAAACCTGTGGCAACCAACCTGAAGCTTCTGTATTGAATAGGAAGTTTAGAGGGTTAGGATATAAAAAATATCTGGGCCTTATACTCTACCTCCCACCTTCATTTGAGTTACATGGTAGGAGATAGGAGCAGGGCCTGCTCACCTTCACCCAACCCTCCAAGTGCCTCCTGGCACTCCCAGTCTCCTATCTCAACTCATCTGCCTTCACTCTGTCGACTTCCCTGCAGTCCTTGACTGCCCAGGCCACAAGCCCTGACAGGTGAGATCACAAAATTCATTTTGTCTCCCTTGTGTCTGGCCCAGTGAGCCAGAGAGCAGATGATGGATAGACAGAGGGCAGCATGGACAGAGGTCAGTTTGCTATTTATTCCTTCTTTCCTCTGATGCTGTCAGATTGGTGCCCTGAGCAAGAAATGCACCAGTGATTCCATGGAGCCATTTTCTGTTCTCTATATCCCCAAACTCTTGGTTGTCCCTCAGCCTAGTAGTTCCCATGTGTCCAGGTTGAACACAAAAGTAGCCACACAAGGAGATGCTTATGGTCCCCATTTCATGAGAACAATGTCAACAGGTTTGCCTTTATGTGCTGAATAATGTACCAGAACACTAGGAATGACATTTCAAACCTACACTGAAGTGTCCTCGGGCTGAGAGGAATCAGCTGTTTAAAGGGTCCTCACAAAAAGAGGAAAAATCTGGATGATAATTTGATATGCACCTGTTTACATGTTGTTTTTGAGAAGGGCTTTTGTGCTATCCATAGGGAGCAGGAGAAGCGGCTTTCCAAGGCCCTTCTTGTTATAAGGTCCCACACTGGTTACACGTGAATCTAAACAACTGGCTTGCTAAAGGAATAGAAGTGGCTCCCCAGCAGGATTCTACTATGACCAGCATTCAGGCCAGCCCAGCCCAGTCCACTGCAATCACACCTAGCTGTGATGACCCAGGGAAGATTGGCCTGCTCCTGAACACCAGGAAGAGCTCACCACTACATTCCACCCAGCAAGCGGCCTTCAGGCCCCAAGGAAGAAAAGGTTCATGTCCTCACCTCTGAGTCATGGTCAAAAGGCCCCCATGGGCCATAACAGAAGCACAAGATGCCAAACCATAACTCCAAGACTTTGGACTAGACACCCCATAACTGGCTGCTGGCCCAGGATACATGAGCTTCTTCAGGGCCCCCTTTAGCCCTTGAGGACCTCACCCACTCTTTATCCTGCCTGCCTTGAGCTCACAGGTGAAGGTTGTACCTAAAATCTCAGGACTCACTAGGGTGGTGACACACATTTTTGACCCCAACACTCCGGAAACAATCTCTGCAGGCAGATCTCTGTGAAAACTATGTAGCCAGCCTGGTCTACATAGAGAGTTTCAGGCCAGCTGGGATTACAGGGTGACCCTATCTCAAACAAAACAAAAAGAGAGGGGTGGTGGCCAGAGAGATGGCTCAGTGGTTATGCACTGGCTGCTCCTGCAGAAGACCAGCCTTCAGTTTCCAACACCCAATTGGAGGCTACCAATTGTCCGTAACTCCAGTTCCAGGGGATCCAATGCCTTCTTCTAATTTCCACAGGCACTGCATGCATGGGTGCACTTACATACATGCAGGCAAAACACTCATACACATAAAATAAAAACAATTATTTTTTATTGATTTAATTTTATGTGCATGAGTGTATTGCCTGCATGTATGTAAGTGTACTCATGTTGTACAATGCCCAGGGAGGTCAGAGGAGAGCATCAAATTCTCCTGGAACTGATTAAAGATGGTTGTTAGCTACCATGTGGGTGCGGCAAATTGAACCCGGGTCCTCTGCAAAAGCACCCAGAGCTCTTAACTCCTGAGCCACCTCTCCAGCCCCATCAATTTTTTTTTTAAAAAAAGAAAGAAAAAACAACAAAAAAATCTCTGGACTCTATATCCCTGTCCCACTTGTGCAAGGTGACTATATCCCAACAGAAGACACTGTGATAGCTGATCTGTTTAGCAGGAGACAGCTAGACCATAAACTTCCTGGTGGGGTATAACATGATAGACCTCACCCCAAGTCAGCTGTTGGTGAGAGCTGCATGCAGCCCAATTCCCACAGATGGCCCACCAGAGCCGCATACTAGCCACTACCCACCCAGGAAGTTCAGAGGGTCAGGTGCTTTTTTAAGCCACTCAGACAGAAAGCTTCTGCTCTACCGATTCAATTTCAGAAATTCCAAAACAACAAATATGCAGATTCCCTCTTTTTGCCCCAACCTCTGAAAAATACAACATTTCTCTGTCTCTAAGGTCATGGAAATATACCCCAGAAGCTCTGATAGTTTTCCTAGGGGGTCCAGGACCCTACTCAATCACTAGACTAAGGGATGCTTAAGCCTTTTAGGAGACCAATTCCAGTCAGCCTATATTCTTCCCAATCTCACTTCCCTACTCCCTTCTCAGGCACACCAGGCCCAGCCCCCAGCAATCAGCCACTATCACAAAAAAGGCTTCTACCGGTTCCCTGCAGTGGTAAGCCTATCTCCACATTTCACCATATTATCTAGGCTGTAATGAAACCACAGTGGGCTCCAAGGGAAGGCCCCTTAGGTGAATCTGTGCACTGGTCTCAAAGCTGTGTTTCTGCCCCACTCCATGCAGATGCCCCTCACCTGATGCCCATGGAGCGTGTAGAGCAGCCGGCCCTCCATCAGGTCCAGGATCTTCAGGGTTGAGTCACTGGAAGCTGTGATGAGGTAGTTTCCCGATGGATGGAAGGAGAGGGCATTCACGGCTGCACTGTGCACTAGAGGAAGGACAGCGGTCAGGCACTGGCTGGGAGGCCCACAGAGTACAGCTGAAGTCTGAGACAGGTAACGAGAGTCAACAATGCCTCAGCACAGGCCTCAGGAGAGTAGGCCAAGATGGCCATTGCTCAGAACAGTTGTGAGGTGAAAAGCCCTACATGGATTTCCCAGTAGAGTGGCAAACCAATGGATGGGGGTCAAGGGTAGACACTGGGAGACATAAGAAAGAAACAAATATGGCAAGTGAAAGAATCAAGTGATCCTCTTTACCTTCTCCCATGACTCTCAGCAGTGAAGCTGGAGCAGAATACACAAATATGGTGTTGAATCTGTTTTACATTCTGTTAACTGAAGAGAAACCAAACATGAACCCTCAAAATGCTAATACAATGCGCTGTCCTGTAGGAAAGGACATGTGTGGGGACAGGCAAGTAGAAAACTAGGAGATTTTCAGGAGCCAGAGAGGCTTGGGCTCCCGTCCTAGTCTCCCCACTGCCTTGTGACAATGAACAATCACCCTGACTGCACTGAACTGCAGTTTTTCTGTCAGTACCATAGCACTGTTTGAGGATGCTACCAAGTTAAGCTTACATCGTGAACCCTCAGAGTCCAGTGCAGATACCCGCCTCCTCCATGTCTTTCTGCTTTACCCATTCAGCAGCTCAACTCTGTCTGACTCCTTTCCCTACCATCCCTGTCCAAGCCTACCATTTGTTCTGGTGTTCCTCACTCTCCAAGATTCAGTTACACCAATTTTGATGGCTTTTCCAGCTGTAAAGTCTTTTTACCCCTTGTCTCCAATGGGCTTAGGAAACTCTTGCCCTCCTTGTCTCCTGATCTTAAAGCTCCCCACTCAAAGTCATGTCCCATGGGAAGCTTCCCAATCTCCCTGCTGGCCCCCCTTCATTTGTCTTTTCAAAGCACCATGAGCCTCACACCTTTAAGTGCAGCACTGAGACTCACACCTGGGTCTCCCATGTCATAAGCTCCATCAGGCAGGGGCTAAGCTAAGCATCTTACTCCTGGCTCAATGTCTGGCACCGAGTGGGGCTTAGGAAGTAGCTAGAGAACAGGGGTTGGTTGTTCAGAAACCCCAGAGGTTCCTCAAGGTTGAAGGCACATGTGTAGAGCTGGTAGAGCTGGGCAGACACATGGTCTACATGGGGAAGAAGCAACCACAGCCAACTTGTAGACTTGCTCATCATAGCCTCTCAAGGTTGTTGTGAAGGAAAGGCGCAGTGCCTTCCCATCCACCTCCACTGACCTAGTGAAGAAACCAGTGGAGCCAAGATAATCACAACCCACACAGTTCAGCATCACCATAAACAAAAAGGCAAGCTCAAAAACCAATCCCTCATCCAGGCTCTGAGAGGATGCAGGAACCTCTGCCCAGCCAATAAACACAACCACCAATAACATAGCACTCAGCAGAGCCCATGAGGGTGCGGGGAGTCCCTCAGATGCCAACCACGATGATGTACTGATGTGCTGGGGAGTGTGGAGACATGTTCCCAAGCACACTTAGGGGAGACAGCCAAGGCTTTATGTAACATGGTATTTAAATCAGAACACAATGCTCTAATACCACAACTCCAGGAAGCAGCCTGGAAGAGATATGAGGGTTTCCGCAGCCCACCCCTCGAGGCAGAATAGAGACCCTCAGCCTGCCCTGGAATGAAAGCCACCCCTGCCTCGCCTGAGACAAAGAAGCAGAGGGAGCAGGAATGGCAGAGGGGTGGAATAGGAACAGGCATACTCACGGAGACCTTCCCCAGCACAACCAAGAGAACAGTGTGTGTAGACACCACACTATGGCTTTCCCCCATCAGGCCCACCCAAGAAAGAGAACAGAAAAAGAGCAACAGAAATCCCACCATTATAAATGCCAGGAATACCCAACACCTACAGCCAGTTACTCCCAAGGAGGGCTCAGCCTGACATGCCAGGCTTCAGGGGATATCCCAGACCAGGACCCATCCCCAGTTCCCCACTTGCTCTCTTGCCTTGTCTACAGGCCACACTAGCCTCCACTGTCACAACCCCTGCTCCTGTACCGGTGATGGGACAGGACAGGACCAAACTAGGCCAGCCTCATCTTAAAAGCCATCCCTGTATAATAGTCCCACACAAGGACTCAACTACCCACAAAGGGGTAAGTCTCCCCTCACAATGCATTGAGCAGTGACTTTACAAGAACAATCTACTTTTCATCAAGTTCAAGCTGTCCAAGTCTTCTTGGCTCCATGGAAGATACCATTGACAACACAGACTGCCATTTGGATAGCAGCTGTGAGCGTCTGGCTATGATCCACAAAAGGGGAGCTCCAACTCCGTGCAGAGATACATGGCAGCAAGGTACTACAGGTCATGAGGAGCCCATGACGGTGGGACAAGGTTGCTGTTGCCCTTGCCCCCAAACATAGCTTGTGGGCAGTAGATAACCTAAAGAGAGACTTGAGTACCCACAATCTCCTCTGTCCACACTGCTCTGTGTGTGGCAGCCTTTGGCAAATCTGGGCCATGGATTTAAAACTGGCCAAGAAGCCCAGAGAACACTGGGTGCCCAGGTAGGATGGAACTTCCTGGGGTAGACCATGCCAGGGCTAAGCTCTATCTCTACATCTTGCCACAAAAAGGTCAGTTTACTTCTAAGTACCCCGCATGGCTCCTCATAACTGATGCCTCCAGTGATTCAGTGGCCTCTGGATTTCCGAGGGACTTTGGAGTCAAACCTGAAAGTGCCCTGAAATTGGCAGCAACAAGTGAAGTAATCCTCTTTGCAAAGTCTGCTAGGAAACAGTGAGGGAGACTGGCCAGAGCTGGTGGATCAGGGCTCCTCATCAGTGTTTTGAATCTGGAAACACAAGTAGGGCCAGAGATAGCTCAGCAGTAAAGGCATTTGCTGCTAAGCCTGACAACCTGAGTTCAATCCCTGGGTTCCACATAGTGGAAGGAGAGAACTAATTCCTGAAAGTTGTCCACTGACCTCCATATGTTATCTCACTCACACACACACACGCACAAAACATAATTTTAAAAAATTAGAAGCACCAAAATAAAGGGCACAGGCTGCCCTGCTAGTTGCATAACCACTTAAAAACCCTTCATAACTGGGCTAGCAATATGGCTCAGTAATAGAGCATCTATGAGGCCCTATATTCAATTCCTAGCATCACATTAAAAATAAAAACACAGGAGCTGGAGAGATGGCTCAGTAGTTAAGAGAACTGTCTGCTCTTGCAAAGGACCCAAGTTCAGTTCCCATACCCACATGGTTGCTAATACCATCCATAACTCCACTTCCAGGGGATCTGATGCTCTCTCTGCTCTCTGACCTCCATGGGTATTGCACAACATGGGTGCACTCATGTACATGCAGGCAATACACTCATACACATAAAATAAAATAATAAATAAAATATTTTAAAAAACAAAAACAACAACAAAAAACACAGGCCAAGCACTTGGGAGGCAGAGGCAGGTGAATCTTTGTGAGTTCAAGGTTAGCCAAGGTTATAGTGAGACCTCATCTCAAAAAACAAAACAACAACAGCAACAACAACAAAAAAAAAAAAAAAAAAAAAAAACCAAATAGGCTTTATATATACCAAGAATCCATGACCATACCTTGGGTAGGGGTGGGAGGCACAGGCATTCTTAGGGACCAGTGGCCAGAGAACTCAGGACTAAGAATTTGAAATCAAGTTTCTGGAAATGACCAGGCCAAGCTTGTTGACATCCCGTCAAAGAGGCCATCTCTCAGCATCCTTGAGAATAAAACACTAGAGTGGGACCCAATGTGGAAATAGTGGGCAGACTGCCAGACTCTTCAGTCCTAAACTGAAGAGTCAGATTCTGCTTCCAGGTTGCCTGGCTGTGGCCAAGTCTCACACTCCTTGTGAGTGAATTGGGAAGTGGCCCTTCCTTGCTGGCCACCCAGGCCTATCCCCAGATCATGGATCTATGCATGCCTGTAAAGAATATTCTGGTTCTGGGATGGGGACTGCTGCTCAGATGTTTGAACAGTCTTAACGTGGGCTTGGAGCATATGGTGCTTAACCCACGTCCATGGGAACTGGTACTCCCAGGATTCCACCAGTCCGTTGACTCCTTACTGAATTAGGAAATCAGAACTGTTCCCTGCAGTAACAGGCCAGAGCCAAGAAACTCCTTGCCCGGGAGGATAGTCATCCAGCCTTGGACAAATAGTGCTAACTATATGCCATAGCCCAAAACCCAAGCAGGCTTTATGCAAACAACCCATCCCAGGACATGAAATGCATGCCCTCCGTGTGGCATGACGATGGGGTGGCTGGACATACACTGCAATACTATTAACTACATTCCCTCAGAAGAGCCCATCAGCCTCACATATCAGAAAGCTACTTAGGAAGTGCCTGGTGCCCATCCAGAGTCCCAAGGAAATATCTGGACATCATTCTGTCCTTAAAAACTTTTACCTGGGCTTCTAAGAAATCCAAACAGAAGAGAAATCAGATGTCTGCTACCATAGCACTGAAAGTCCATTTTGGGGAATCAGCCTCCAAAGAGACCCCCCCCCCGACTAGTGTGTACTGAAGAGAGGGGAGCCTCCCAGGTAGTGTATTTTAGTCACAATACTTTCAGGGGAGGACCCCAGACCTGAGCAGGCCCATCCAGGGTCCCACATCAGAAAATACAGGGCTGGGGCTCAGAGCCCTGAAGGTAAACCTCAAGGCTAGGGGATGAGTCTGCTCTCCTGTAAACACCTACCAGGTGCCACAGCCTTGGGCAGGGAGTGCAAGATGAAGGCAGCTGTGTTTACAGGCTGCATAGCATCCTCACAAGGCTCCAACATACACTGGGAGAACAGAGAAACATCACTCTGTAGTCTTCCTGAGGAGCTCCATCCCAAGAGGCAAGGACAGCAGCAAAAGCTCACTGAAAAGCTCTAAGGGACTTACGTGTTGCAAGCACTCTTGTCCACTTGGTACTCAGCCATAGTGCACAAGCAAGTCCACACACCTCCTGGCCCTGCTTAGTACTGAGCTGTACTCCTGCCCACCACTAAGCCTATTCCCTCAAGAACCCAGGGCCCTGTCCCTATCTCCTCTGCATTGCTCCAGTTCCCAATTCCCCCTCCCAAGACCTCCTGGCTATGACCACATACGTCCCCCACAGCTTTTCCATGCGAGGGAAAGCCCTCACTCTGGCTGTGTTGGGGACCTTTTTTTATTCAGTGGTCCTCCAATTTTAAGGGTTCAGAATATAGCATTGACCCTTCTCATGTCCTAGATTCCAGGGCCCACTGGCCCCTCCACCCCAACAGCATCTGCTTCTCCTCTACTTAACCTCCACAAGTAGCCCCCTGAACATGACCCCTCCCTGCTCCTGATACCTGCTACATTGGGCATGGAAAGCCCACTCACCAGTGACCAGGGTATATCAACCATGCATCCTAGCAGAATCTAAACACTTGTCCTCTCAAATGTCTCTTGTCCCTTTGCTCCTTGAGTGAGTCAGGCCCAGTTTTGCCAGCTACTAGTACTTGAGACTTCAGGTTTAAAGGTAGCATTCAAGGCTCTCCCCAGTGGCTACCTGCTGCTATATGTGATGAACTCAAGGCCAGGTTCCTGAACCATCAAGGACAGACTTGGATTCTTCTAAGGTCACCTAGAGATCCTTTCCACCCAGTGTTAGGATTCGTGTGGCACAAACCACACTGAGTGCTGCACTATAACCCTTGTATAGCTTCTCTCACTACAGCATCACCTCATGAGGAAGGTCCTATTATCGCCCCACTCACAGATGGACATGGCCTGCACTCCGAGCCACTGCACTGCCTTGCTGCATTCCTGCCTCATCTCTCCCTGTCCAAATCCTCCCTGCTGGGCCCACCTTCACCAATCAATGTGCAGATAATGCCTAACCCTGGCCCTTAACTTAGGCCTGGTCCAGAGCAGGGAAAAAAAAAAAAAGGTCTCTAAGCTTGAAGGAAGGAGGGACCACCACCTCTCCAAGAGGAGGTAGTCTCCAAGTGGAAGGGGTTCTGTTCTAGAAGCCTCTGAAAGAACATCAATGACAGATGCCTGGGCTCTCTAAAGTCCTCGTTCTTGTGGCTGAGCTCTGCCACCTGGTGGTGAAAGAGTGTACTATAAATAAACCTTGACCAACCTCCACACAGGAAGACAAGACTCCTGGACACCTGAAACCAGACAATGCAGCTGCAGGAGCAGCACTGTTCCCACTTCGCACCAGCCACTCTCTATCTTTAACATGAACCAACTCAAACCCTGTCTCCCCATCTGTACCACAGACTCTCTCATTGTCCCAGGAACTCCAAGGAGTCAACTGGCCTTTCCAATGTCATACAACTGGACTTCTGAAGCTGGCTACAGAATCCACACTCCACCCTGTCCTGCTCCTACCAGGATCATCTTCCCATTCCTAGAAGACACTCACCTTGGTTACCCAAGAATGTGCTGCTCTCCAATGTCTAAGAAGCCACCATGAAGTACTTATGGGGATGCCGAGGGAGGAAGAGTTCTGAAACCGAAGCTCCAAACCTATGTCAACTCCCCACTACCTTGCTGCTCAAAGGCTACAGCTAAATCAGGGGCCATACCCCTAGGTCCAGAACCTGAGCCTGGCCCCTGGCTAAGTCAACATTCTACATGCTTTATGGTTCTAGGTAGATATATGGACAATAACATGAGGCCAAGCTCCCAATAACACTAACCCCTATCGGGAAGCCATCTCCTTGACCCTGAAAATTCATCTCCATCATAGTGAGAAATGGCACAGGGGGCTCAAGAAGTGACCCTCAGGGAGCGTCCTAGCCAGAGACCCTCTGAGGACTCCCCAGCTACAATGTTTAAGACTCTGCTATCTCACAGCAGGACACCAAAGGGCTTATTGAAAGTCAGAGATACATGCTCCACCTCCCAGCTAAGATTCTAAGCCAGACAACCACATCACAGACTATTCATCCTGGCTAACCCAATAGCCGCAGGATTTCTCCCCATTCAGGGTTGTCTTCAGTCCTTTTGAAGCACCACAGCAATGAACCAAATGCCTGGCACTAGCACAGTCCCACGACAGCCACTTGTGGGTTTTCAACACTCACACTGATAGTGCTGCAATAGCCGATGAGTCCGCACGTCCCACACCTTCACTGTGTTGTCCATGCCAGCAGCGGCAATACAGGTTCCACTTGGGTGGAAGTCCACATAGGTGACAAAGCTAGAAAGACAGAAAATTTTCATGCTCTCTAAGAGGTCTTCCTTGGTCAGAATGGACCCAAAAGTGCCCCATCCTGTATATCTATTCATACTGTGGCCTCAACCTGGAACACGCTTCTGTTCCAGGTAGCCAAGAACAAGCAGAAAGAGCAGTAGCCACAGTGAAGTACGGTGGGCTAACCAGGGACCAAGTCCACCACCGGTTCCTTCCTTCCTCCTGCCCTCTCTCCTTCTTTATGCTTTTTGAGATAAGGTTTACTATGTAGCCCAGGCTGGCTATACCTACCTCCACCTCCTGAGTGCTGAGATTACAAGTGTGTGTAAACAGACCCACTGTTTTTTTTTCTTGTCTGTTTTGAGATAGTCTCCCTGTACCCCCAGCTGGCCTAGAACTATGTAGACCAGGCTGGCCTCGATCTCACAGAAATCTACCTGCCCCTTGAGTGCTGGAATTAAAGGCATGTGCCACCATGCCCAGCTTTGTCACTGATTTTTAAGTACTACAAGTGGAGATGGCTGCCTTCAGAGACACAAGTCAGCCAAGCTGCTCTGGGGTTCCAGAATTGGAGCTGGTACCCTTGCCAGGGCTGGCTCCAAGCCAGGTCCTGCCAACTGAAGCATAGGTGGGAAGATCCAGCAAGGCTACAGGTCTCTAGCAGACAGTTCAAAACCTTCAATATACCCTGTATAACATTCAGGCACTCGGGAAGGGCCCCTGCCTTTGATTCCTAGCTTAAAAAATGAAGCTGGAATCTGCTTACAAACTTAGAAAGGCCAAATCCCTGCTCAAATGCAGGCTCCTCCTGCCCCCTATGATGTGGTGCAGTATGTAGAACCACCGCCTGCTGCAAGAGCCTGATGACACTTTCATTCATAAAATCATCAACATAGGTGATACTAAGTTTTAACAAGCAGTTTCAGGGGAGGGCTGAATTCAATGCTCAGAAAGAGATGTTATAATTCTGGGAACTAGAAAATGAAGTGGGAAAAGAGAGGCCCAAAGAATAACATGACTTTAGGTTAACAGTTTCTATTTGTAGGGTGGGGATGGGGCTTAACTCTCCATCCACACAGGAAAAGGCACAGAGCTCATACAAAAGGCACACCAGTGAAAGGGCAGCAAGTATGGCTGCCAATCTCACAGTTCCAGTCCCTGAAGGCCACTGGGCTCCTCATGCCCTACTCTGCACTCTGTGCTGGAGCACCTGCTGATGGAGGAAAACAATGGGAACTCACCCGCCATGCTCGCAGTATGAGTGGACACACTCCCGGCTAGTCTTGTCCCACAGCTTGACAGTCTTGTCATCGCTGGCAGACACAATGAGCCGCCCATCAGGGGAGAACCTGAATTGGAAGGGGCACAAGTCATACCACTGACAGGCTCCTTGGACACCGCACCCTGTTCTCTGGAGTCACCTTTCCCTGCATGCTACCACCTGACCCAGGAACTGCTTTGGAGGTTAAACTTTATGTTGTTCTTGGTTTTTTGGTTTTGTTTTTTCTTTTTTGGTCTTTTTGAGACAGGGTCTCTCTGTAGCCCAGCTGTCCTGGAACTTACTATGTAGACCAGGCTGGCCTTGAACTCAAGAGATCCGCCTGCCTCTGCCTCCTGAGTACTGGGATTAAAGGTGTCCACCACCATCCCTGGCCGTTTTTTTGAGACATGGTCTCATTTTATAGCTCTGGCTGGTCTAAAACCCTCTATATGTAAACCAGGTAGGCTTGTGGTGATCCTCCTGCCTCTGCCTCCCAAGTGCTGAGATTACAGGCATGTATCACTACAACCTGGCTGTCTGACTCAAGAACTGCCCAGAGTTACGTATCTTGTTTTGATACCCTCTCTGTGAGATTGATCAGAGCACCACCCTCCAGTAAGCACAAAACAGCACAGGACGCCCCCATCCCTGGAGGCACATGGCACATGCAGTATGCAGGTACTGCCTGATGTTCTTAACATGAAGGTGGTCAAGAGCCCCACAGCAGTATACTTATCTTCCTCTCAGTAGCCGGTCAGCAAAACACAATCAGTCAACAAAAATGCATGGCGGTCCTAAAAACCACCACCAAAGGCCTGCTGTGGATATGATACCCCACTTTGTTGGCCTGGCCTCTCCTGTTCTTAGGTCATGAGGCTTCTCAGAGCAAGGACCTCCCAGGACAAAGAATGGTGCTGCCCTAGGGAAAAAGTAACTTGCATGGTAACTTGAAAGGTAGTTTACTAGTTTTCTGATTCTTATTTTCCCAGTGTCCTCTCTACCCTAACCCTCTCCACTGGAACAGAGATATGACATGAGGAAGCCCTGCTGAAAGGACCTGAACAAGTGACAGGTATGCATATCTGTGTCCATGGTTTTTGGACCATAAGTCCTTCAGGTCGGCTGGTATCCCATATGCATAGCACTGCCTCCCATACCAAAGCCAAGGCCTCCAGGCCAAGACCCCATCTTGAAGGTCTGACTGAGCACAGTCAAGCTCTTAGGAGACTGACCCAGAGGAAAGTAAGCAAACCTGAGTGCCAGAGAAATGTGGGTTTGGGCCACAGCTTTGCTATTTACCCAGAGTGCCCCAGGGCAAGATACTGTTCTATTTGAGCCTCAGTTTCCTTTTCTGCAAAACGGGAATGATGCCACCTAGCTGGTAGAACTATCATAAGGAACAAGAAACTGCAAGTGGTAGCATGGATATACTCACTGATATTGCTGCTCTCGTCAAAACAATGCTGGTGTGGATTCAGCCGGTGCTGAGCCAGCACACTCACCAGAGGGTCATCGTAAGTAGCAATAGACTAACTTATGTGTCATGCATGAGCTCAGTGAAGCTTCTCAATAAATTCAATGTGGCAACCATTACTGTTGACATTTTACAGACCGGCAAACCAAGGCTCAGCTAAGCAACTTGCCCAAGGTTACAAGCTGATACCTGCGACTCCTCTTTGCCCTCCTCAACCCCTATGCCCTTCCAGGATCTCCAGATGGGAAAAACTCACTTAGCACAGCGGACCCAGTTGATGTGCTGGCTCAGGGAGAACAGGAATTTCTGGCGATGAGTTGACCACACCTTGACTGTCTTGTCATCAGAGGCTGTCACAAGGGACTGGCCATCACTACAGAAGTGGACGCTCCTCACCGTGGCTGTGTGTGCACGAAACACGGTTGACTCACCTTTGCTATGAGGACAGACATTCAGATTCAGGAAACCCATAATAGTGACCTGAAGGCCTACAAATACGCCAAAGTTCTCCCTACCCATCCAGCCCTGAGCTCCCCAGTCACCCAAGAGGGAAGCACTTCTTCTCCCCATTTCCTCTGCCCACATGCAATCAGCACTAGGCGTGAGGTAGCTGTCCTCCCAACCTAAAGAAATGGCCCCAGCCTCTGATGGCACCCTCTCAGAGGGCACATGTCCTACTGCAACCAGCACCAAGCCAGGATAGGGGCCAGAATAGAGACCCAAATTGGGACAGCTCTTGCACCAAGTCCCTCAACTCTGTCAAGGCCCTTCAAGTCCATAACTCACACATTGGGTACCCAGATTCGAACAGTCTTGTCACGGGAGCCTGAGGCAAGCAGGTGTCCAGAGGGGGAGAAGTTCACACAGGTGACCACATCCTTGTGGCCAGTGAAGCGGTAGGCACGTGACTGGGGCTTCATGTGCCAGATCATGAGGCATGAGTCCATGGAGCCACTGGCTGAGAAGAGTGGGGAACATGATGATCCTCAGATCTCGAGAACCTCGAGCACCCACTCCACTGCTGGGGATGCAGGGAGAGAAACAGGCCCAGTCCCATCTTCCCAGGCATGCCCAAACAGGGCAATGAGAAGACCCATGGGGTAGCCCACATCTCCTGTGACTACTGACCTAGAATTGGAGACCTATGGCCTGGCAAGTCTCCAGCAGCAGGTTGACACAGGAACCAGACGGATAGGCCCTTTACATGCCAACTGTGGGGTACAACCTGGGGCTCTATGAAAACTCATACCTATGGAGCCCAGAGTCTCCCCACTGATACCCCAAAGGCACCAGGGCAAATCCTTCCAACACCAGGGTACCAGTCCAACTACTGAAAGGGCCCAACTCAATAAGAAGCCTAAGGGAAGTCTCCAAAACAGACCCCAAATGGCCTCAGTTCCTCTGTGCCTATAGCAAATCACTAGATCAACAGACCCTGACAGATCTCCACAATACAATGAAGAGGGAGCCTAATCCATGGGAACAGAAAAACTGTTTAGGAACCCCCATATGCACAAGGAAAGGGTGTACCCAGCTGCAGTGAAAGAGACATTATATGAGGCTGGGGGACAGTCTCTATTCCACATCTTTCTTACTAGTAAGTCTCTATAAAAGAACATGGGAGCCGGGTGTGGTGGTGCATGCCTTTAATCCCAACACTCGGGAGGCAGAGGCAGGCGGGAATCTGTGGGTTTAAGGCAACCCCTATCTCCATACAGAGTTTCTAGACAGCTAAGGCAACACAGAGAACCTGTCTTATGAAAACCAAAAAAAAAAAAAAAAAAAAGAACACGGGCCATATTACTGCAGGAAACTAAATCGAAGACTCAAGGAAAAGGAGTCACTGTTTAGAGCCCATGCCACAGAACAGACCCAAGAGGTGGCCAGGGTGTACAGGGAAAAACCCAATCCCTAGTCTCTCTCTTAAAGGTTGTGTCACCTTAACAAGGTTCCCAACCTCTCCGAGCTTCACATTCTTCACATACTAAATAAAGTTCAATAAGCCCTGTTCCCAGAAAGCCGGAGGTGGAAGCAAGATGCAGGTCTAAACAAAGCAGCTGTGTCTGCCATAACCTGGCATCCCTATACCACACTACTCTGCTTATAATCTAGTGCCTGAGACAAGCTGTCTTCTCTTACCTAGCTGTTTCATGTTGAGACTGAAGTCCACACAGGTAACTGCATCTCGGTGGCCCTTAAAATGCCTTTCCAGTGAGGGGTCATCCTGGGAGAGAAGAAGATCCAATGGGTAAAGTCTGAGCAAAGAAGGGGCTTCTCTGAGGCAAGACTCTTCCCACAACAACCAGGAAATATGGAGCTAGAGAGATGACTCAACAGTTAAGAGCACTGACCACTCTTGCAGAGGACCTGGATTCAGTTCCCAACACCCATATAGCAGCTAACAACCATTTGTAACTCTTAGTTCCAAGAGATCCAATGCCCTCTTTTGGCCTCTGTGGGGACTGCACAGCACAAGTGCACTTACATGCAGGCAAAACACTCATATACATAAAATAAAAATAAATAATATTAAATTTTTTTAAAAGCAGGTGATGTTAAAAACACTGAACTCATGAACATCTTGTGTATAGAAAATCCTAAGGAATCTACTAAAAAGTGTTAGAATAAAGCAAGTCCAGCAAGGAAGGGTACGGAATCAAAACACAAACACACACACACACACACACACACACACACACACACACACTATACTTCTATATGCCAACAATAAATGATTTAAAAAATAAAGTAAGGGGGTTGGAGAGATGTCTCAGCAGTTAGGAGCACTGAGTGCTCTTACAGAGGACCCAGGTTCAATTCCCAGCACCCACATGGCAGCTGACAACTGTCTGTAATTCCAGTTCCAGGAGATTCAACACCCTCTTCTGACCTCCACCAGTATTACATGACACAGGTGCACCTACCTACATGTAGGCATTACACTCATACACATAAAATTAAAATAATAAATAAAATATTTTTTAAAAATAAATAAAGACAACAATTTATGAGGGGCTGGAAACATGGCTATGCAGTTGAGAACACCTGAAGGCCCTAGGCTTGGTTCTCAGCACCCACATCAGGTGGTTTATAACTACCTACAACTCCTGTTCCAGGATATCCAATGCCCTTTTCTGGCCTCCATGGGCATCTGGACACACATGGAACACATACATACATTCAGGCACACACAAATACATATAAAATAAATAAGTCTTTAAAAATTTTAATTATAGGGGCTGGAGAAATGGCTCAGCAGTTAAGAGCACTGGCTGCTCTTACAGGGGAACAGGGTTTGATTCCCAGCACCCACATAGTGGCTAATCATCCATAACTCCAGTTCCCAGGGAATTTGACACCATTTTCTGATTTCCAAGAGCATTGCATAACAGGGACACACTTACACACATGCAGGCAATACACTCATACACATAAAATAAAAAATAATAAACAAAATATTTTTTTAAATTTTTAATTAAGATAAAAAAAAATTAAGCCCCAGGGCTGGAGAGATGGCTCAGCAGTTAAGAACACTGGTTGTTCTTGAAGAAGACCCAGGTTTGAATCCCAGCATCTACATGGCAACTAACAACTGTCTGTAACTCCAGTCCCAAGGGATCTGATAGCCTCTTCTGACCTCCGCAGGCATTGCATGACACGGGTGCACTTACCTACATGCAGGCAATACACTCATACACATAAAATAAAAATAATAAAAATTTTTTTAAATTAAGCCCTTAGCCCAAGCATGGTGGCATACACCAATAATCTCAGCAATGGGAGGCTAAGGCAAAAGGATAGTGAGTCCACATTCAGCCTGGCCTGTACAGTGAGTTTGAGGCCAGCCTGGGCTTCATATTAAGACCTTGTAGCTCGGCATGTTGGCAAATGCCTTTAATCCCAGCACTCGGGAGGCAGGGGCAGGCAGATCTCTGTGAGTTCAAGACCAGTCTGGTCTACATAGTGAGTTCCAGGCCAGCTGGGGAGACAGGGAGACCCTGTTTCAAAAAGACAAAAAAAAAAGATCTTGTCTTTAAAAATGGGGGATGGGCTGGAGAGATGGTTCAATGGTTAAGAGTAGTGGTTGCTCTTGCAGAGGATGCAGGTTTTGTTCCCAACATCCACATGGTGGCTAACAACTGATCATAATTCCAGTTCCAGGGGATCTGATGCCTTCTTGTGACCTCCATGGGCATTGCATGAAATGGGTGCACTTACATACATGCAGGTAATACATTCTTAGACATAAGAAATAATAATAATGCTGGGTGTTGTCACACACGCCTTTAATCCCAGCACTCAGGAGGCAGAGGCAGGCGGATCTCTGTGAGTTCAAGGCCAGCCTGGTCTACATAGCGAGTTCCAGGACAGCTGGGGTTACAGGGAGACCCTGTCTTAAAAAAAGACCAATAATAATAATAATAAATTAAATTAAAATTAAAAGTGGGGGAGGGGGGCTGGCAAGATGGTTCAGTGCTTGCCACTGAGCTTGATGACCGGAGTTAAACTCCCAGGACCCACATGGTGAAAGGAGAGAACCAATTCCTGAAAATTGTCTTCTGACCTCTATACTCATGCTTTGGCACATCTGCCCTCACACACATACATACACAAAAATAAATAAAAGTAGTAAAAAAAATAAAAGGTGCATTTTATGGCATATAAATAATATCTCAAAGCCAGGCACGGTGGCACACACCTTAAATCCCAGCCCTTGGGAGGCAAAGGTGGAAGATCTCTGTGAGTTCGAGGCCAGCCTGGTCTATATAGCAAGTTCCAGGCTGGCTGGGGTAACAGGAAGATCATGTCTCAAAAAGACACCTCGATCCCACCTTGGACATAGTAAGCCCAAAGGACAGGCTCTTGGTGACATCACCACTATGCCCACTTTACCCAATGCCAGAGAAACAGTAGGGGCATTCAAGGCAATGACTAGAAAGACAACAGAGAGAATATTCCAGAGACTTTCTCCATCCAACAGTAGTTTGAATCTCACTTTGGGAGCTAACCCCCTGTTATGCAAGTTACTGCCGCCCACTTCAAACATCGAAAACTTCAAAAAAGCATTTGGGATGCTCCAGGTAACCCAGCAAAAACTCTTCTTGGGAAAGGTTATTTCTGTGGCAGAGCAAAATCACTGCTTCTCCACGGAGTGGTATCCAGAACAAAGGCAGGTGGTCCAGCCAAGCTCCACCCCCAACACACCTGCAGGACTACCCCTTTGAACAGATGGAGGGGTAGTTCTTGGAAGACTCTAAGGAGCAACAAGTGCCCATTCTGCTTCCTGTCCTCACCTAAGCCTCTTGGAAAACAAGAGCAATACAGTGTCCATCCCTGGATCAGTGGGCAGAAGCAAGTTCAGGTCCACTCCTAACCAGTGGACCCTTGAAACTTCCCAATACCCTCTTCCCTGGGTAGTTCCCTGCATGTGCCCCCTACCAACAAAAGCAGTTCTGGGGGGTGAATATGGGCAGAGTATCAGATTGACAATCAAAGATCTGGGCCCTATTTCTTGCACAAGACCTCAGTGCATCAAGGGGCCCCGGTCACACTGCAGGCCTGGGTCATCCCAGGCATCCCAGTAGCCTGCTGCTTCCACAGATCAGAAAGTGTAGCCTCAAGAAGACCCCACCCAGCCACGGAAGACGCAAGCTGGCGAGACCAACATTGACCCCCAGGCCACGCCAGGGTCGGGCCTTAATTGTGTCGTCCTTCCTAAAATGTAAATCCCAGAGGCAGGGGCTTGTTTTGTCGTCCGGTGGCCCAGAATCGCACCTGGTACTTGGGGTCAATGCAGGGACCCAACCCGCCTCCCAGACCGTAACCTTAGGAGGAGAGTGCCGCCCCGGAACCCGGCGCCCCGCCCGACCCGCTCGCGGTCATGGCTCCAGCCAACCAGACACCCACCTTCCATGGCCTTACCTGGCTCGGTGCAGCCATCGCGGGGCTGGTGGGGCCAGAGGCGCCGGAGGAGCTCAAACTACTAGCAGCGACAGTTGTGCCAGTTCAGTTTCCGCGCCCGCAATCGCCGCCAATAGCAACGCTGTCGGCGTTGCCGCGCCCCGCCCACTGCAATTAAAGGAGACGCTTCTCAGCTTTTTGTCCGCCGACCGGAAGCGAAGACGCAGGCCGGTTTCACGTTCTCATCGCCCAGCTCAACCAGCCGAGGTAACCCACCACCTGCGCAGCCAAAAGCCTCTGTCTCAAGTCACACCTTCCTCCTGAGAACTTAAAAAAGCCTGGAAGAGAATACCTCATTGGCTCGCCGCCAGCCCACGTGACAGAGCGCACCGCCTTCCGGGGAAGTTCTACGCGACCTATACTGTACAGCCGGTGGAACGATAGAACTACATTTCCCGAGATGCCCCGGGAGTGGGCCGAGCTTTATCGTCCGCCTTAAGAATCCCGGAAGGAGGACTGTGGTGTCGGTGTTTGGCGTTCGCTGCCTTAAAGCTTCTGTCCAAGACGCCGTAGAGAACGAATTTGTAGCCTCTTGTGAACTCTAAGTGGTTCGCTTCTCCAAATGCACTTAAGACAACTATGTACAAAGAACTAGAGTCATTCGGAATCATGGGTTCGATTCTTACCTGGTTGGCTGTGTGACCTCAGGAAAAATAGTCTGCTCTGAGGGCCAGCTTCCTCATAGGTAATTTGAGGGAATGTGGTTCAGCCCGTAGAAGCGATTATAAACTATATGTATGAAAGAAGTAATCCCATCACTCGGGAGTCTGAGGGTTCTTGCTATGTAGCCTGGCCCTGTCTTTAAAAAATGGAAGAAGAAGCCCGGCGTGGTGGCCCACGCCTTTAATCCCAGCACTCGCGAGTCCAGAGGCAGGCGAATCTCTGTGAGTTCCGGGCCACCCTGGCCTACATAGTGAGTTCCAGGACAGCTGGGGCTACAGGGAGACCCTGTCTCAAAAAAGACAAAAAGCCAAAGGGGACCCCCTGTAAAAAAAAAAAAAAAAAAAAAAAAAAAAAAAAAAAAAAAAAAGGAAGAAGAAACAATTCTGAGGCCTCACCACCAGGGGCCGTACTTTCTCACTTTCTGCAGTCCAAAAGCAGTGACCTTTCATCTACTCTGCTTCCTTATGGGCATCTTCCCAACCTCAACCTGGGTGTTTTGTAAGATTCAAGAACCTTCCATCACCTCTCCTGGCCAGGCTAACTTGTCCAGACTCCAACACAAATTAGAATTTGGCTAGACCCTGAGGTTTCTTACCACATACCTAGGTCTGAGACTGTATGTCCCTGGATCTGCAGGGACAGTAAACTCAGAAATTGGCCCGTGGAGGGGACTGGCATGTAGAGGAGGGCATCATTTGGACCTAAAAGAATGGCTTGGGCTGGAGAGATGGCCCAACCATGTACTCAGAATTTCGATCCCCAGCACCCACATCCGATGGCATACTACTTCCTGTAACTCCAGCTCCAGGGAGCTCTGACACTTCTGGACCTCCATGGGTACCTGCACTCATGTTCACATACCTTCACACAAACATATACATATACACATAATTAAAAACAATAGAGCCGGGCGTGGTGGCGCCGCCTTTAATCCCACCACTGTGGAGGCAGAGGCGGGTGGATCTCTGTGAGTTCAAGGCCAGCCTGGTCTACATAGTGAGTTCCAGGACAGCTGGGGCTACAGGGAGACCCTGTCTCAAAAAGACCAAAAAATAAATAAGTAAATAAAATAAAAAATGGAACTGAGTCTATAGCTCATGTCTGAGGCTCTAGGTTCAATTCCCCAGTGCTGCAAAATAAGAAAAAAAAGGAAAGAAAGCTGGGCCTGATACTGCTCACCTTTAATACCAGCACTCGGAGACAGAATCAGGTGGATCTCTGTGAGTTTGAGGCCAGTATGTTCTACATAGAGAGTTCCAGGCCAGGTAGGGCTAAATAATGAGACTGTGTCTTGGAGGGGGTCAGGGGGAGAAACTTCTGTAAAATGGTTGACACCTGTTAGTTTTGCTCAAAGTGAAAGTCACTGGAAGATTCTGCCCAGTCTCCAGATCTCCTTCAGATCTTCCCGAATCCCACTCTTTCTCTCCCTATTTCCCAGAGAAGAGGAGTGGGGGACACCCCCACCTCACTGGGAGGACTCCTTTCCTCCTTGGCACCTCCATTAAATTGGTTTGCAATTCTGACTGGCCACCTTGTTGTGGCAGAGTTCAATGTTTGAGGAATCTCAGTGTTTGGGGGACCTTTATGTTGAGGGGACTGGAATGGGAACTTCTTTTTCTTTCTAAAGATTTATTATTTTTATTTGTGTGTGCATGCCTGTGTGAGTTTATGTGTACCACGTGCATGCAGGTGCCCCACGTGTGCAGGAGACCAGGGAACTTCAATTCCCTGTTCTGGAGTTTCGGGCAGTTGTGAGTCACCTGATGTGGGTGCTGGGAATTGAACCCTGATCCTCTGCAAGAGCAGCAAGCACTCTAACCACTGAGCCATTTTTCCTTTTTCATGTTCCCTGTAACAGGGAAGTCTCTGTCCTGGTACAAAGCCCACTAGTATATGCCCCTGCAAGAATTTCTCATCCTGCCATTATTACTCAACCCAATGGTCAAGGCCACCCAGGATGGGATGAAAACGAAAACGGAAAAGGCTAAGATCACACCCCACCCCTTACCCTAGCCCAGCCCAGCCCAGCTTGGAAAGCCATCCAGGAAGTCGACCAGTCTATTCTGTACCTGCTGACAGTCTAGGTTTGAAACTCTGTACCAGGGCAGCCTTGAGGGCTAGTCTCCAGGATCTAGGACTTGCCACCTCCAAGCTGGGTGAACCAGTAAGAATCATACCACTTTCCCCAGCTTCTATGTTCATTATTATAAAATAATCATAACATACCTACCACGGCAGGGGTGGGGAGATCCCATGAGCCAGACATTCATGTCAGAGCTTGATGTTGAGCTGTCACTTAATACGAAGTGACTTCATACTTCCTCTGAGCCAACAATCAAGCCAACACCTCCTGCCTCCACCCCTAGCATTCTCTGTGCTCCAGTCCTTGAAAAAGAAGGTACCCAGCTCAGGACTCTCCTGCTGGCTATGGTACCAGTAACTACTTGGTTCATTCAGTCACTTGCATCAGGACTTCTTCAAACATCACTTTGTAGTCTTTCTTCCACCCCTCCCTTCCTTTTCTCTATATTTTTTCCCTCCTCCAGTAACTTATCACCATCTGACACATGGATTTATTTAATTGGTGACTTCTTTTAATTGTCAACTTCTTTCCTTTTTTTGTTTTGTTTTTTTGTTTTGTTTCTTGAGATAAGGTCTTACCACATAACACTGGCTGGCCTGGAACTCCCTATGTAGACAAGGCTGACCTCAAACTCACATCTGCCTGCCTCTGCCTCAGGAGTGCTGGAATTTAAGGCGTGCACCACCACATCTGTTCTTTTTTTCTTTTCTTTTCTCTCCTTTTCTTTTGTTCTTATTTTTTTAAATAGGGTTTTTCTATGTAGCTCAGGCTGACCTTGAACTATCAAACCTCCTGCCTCCACCCCCATTGATGGGATTATAGGTGTGGACCACTGTACCTGCTTCTTCACTGTTTGTAGCCCTGAGAAGGTCAACTCCAGGGGACAGATGTGACTATACCAAGACACCTAGACAAAGGGTGTAGTAAATATTTGCTGAGTAAACAAATGAGTCATTCATTACAAGGTTGCATGTAGATTGTAATGGGGGTCTATGAGGGTAGAGCCGGCTGTCAGCTAGAGAGAAGGGGCAGGAATTAAGGTAACTAGGGAAAACTGCTCTGAAGGACCAAGAGAAATTTGAGCTTTGAATCATGAGGCACAAATTGCTAAGGAAGGGGCAGTTTGTTTGGTTTTGTTTGTTTGTTGGCTTGTGTGTTATGTTGTTTGTTGTATTTTTTTGGTTGGTTGGTTGGGGGGGGTTGTTTGTTTGTTTGTTTTTTTGTCTTTTTGAGACAAGGTCTCCCTGTAGCCCCGCTGGCCTGGAACTTGCTATGTAGACCAGACTGGCCTTAAACTCTGCCTCCCAAGTTCTGGGATTAAAGGCGTGTGCCACTACACCTGGCTTTACTTTTAAATTATTGTGTGTGTGTGTGTGTGTGTGTGTGTGTGTGTGTGTGTGAGAGAGAGAGAGAGAGAGAGAGAGAGAGAGAGAGAAAGAGACAGAGACAGAGAGACAGAGAGACAGAGACAGAGAGACAGAGACAGAGAGAGACCCTTTGTAGAGCTGGTATGCCCCTGTGAGTCAACTTTCTTTTTGAGCAGGCCACATCCCAGAGAGAAAAGAGATCCAATGGGGCTAAGCCCTCAGCCTCGCCCAACCCTGCTTCTCCATCCAACAGCAGTGACCCCTCTGGTAAGAAACCCTTTGCTGATAGGGACACTAAAGGGGGTCCCTCTGGAAAAGCACTAGCTTTGGCCCATCTTCCCATATTGCAGGCAGTGAGTGAAATGACTGGACCTGCTGTGTGATTCCTGGAAATAATGCTGGCATTGAACCAAGGGTCCCTGAGATTAGTTTTGTTGTTGTTTTGTTTTGTTTTTATATTTTGTTATTTATTTATTTTATGTGTATGAGTATATTGTGCATGTGTGTTAGTGCACTGGTGTTGTGCAATGCCCAGGGAGGTCAGAAGAAGGTGCAGAATTCCTCTGGAACTGGAGTTATGGACAGTTGTTAGCCACCATATGGGTGCTGGAAATTGAACCCAGGTCCTCTGTAAGAGCAGTCAGTGCTCTTAACCGCTGAGCCATCTCTCCAGCCCCGAGATTAGTTTTTAGGAAATACATGAACACAGAGTGGCCAATAACCACACTATGTTATCCACTCAAGTCAGATGGAACATCTCTGTGTGCCAGGCCTTCTGGCCACATGCCCTGAGCCTGACCAATGTCCTGCCCCTCTTTTCCCCCAAAGAGACCTATCAGAGATGCCAGGTCCCTTTCACAGTGCCCAGAGACCGAGGAAGAGCTAGGGCATCCCCATTGCAATGAGTTGTGATCCTACAACAGTGACTCCCCTGCAGTGGGCCTGCATACATAGGTTGAGAACAGGGTATAATGCTCACAGATGGCCTGAGCTCAAAGTGTAGATCTTTTCCAGTAAATAAAGCTTCCCATCTCTGAGCCTGGCTGCTGTTCAGAACCTCTAAATAGGGAGCTCTGACACTTGGAGTGTTTGGAGTTTCTTTTTTTGTTGTTGTTTTGTTTGTTTTATACCAAACTAACCTCAAATTCACTATGTAGCCTTAAAATAATCTTGGATTCCTGGTTCTCCTGCCTCTTCCTCCTAAATACTGGGATTACATGCATGTGCCAGCATGCCCAGTATGGAGTGCTGGAGATCAAATCCAAGGCCTTACCATGTCAAGATTACAGAGTAGTCTAAGGGGTCAGGCTCAAACTCAAGATCTCATGCATGGTAGTCAAGTATTCTCTACCTACTAAACTACACATCCAACTTAGCACCAGGGTTTTTAAAGCTCTCCAGGTGAGTCCAGTGGGAATCCAAGGCTGACATCTATGCCTCTAGACCAATGATAACCAAAAAAGCTTTCTAGGACTATGGAAATGTCCATGTCCTATGTCCAATAGGGAGCCACTGGTTATGTGTAACTACAGAATACTTGAAATGTGACTAGTGTGGCTGAGGAACTGAGTTTTTCACCTTAATTCATTTAGATATAATTAGCTGTGTATGGCTAGTAGCTACTATATTGGCCAGCACAGCTCCAGAATGTGACCTGGCTCTGTGGCCTCAGGCAAGCCACTGACCTCTTGGACTTCAGTCT